CTAGACGTTTATGCAAGGTGTAGCAACGAAGGAGCTCCTATCTCAGCAGGGACATACAGCAGCTTCTGTAAAAATCGTGTCATTGCCTCACCAAAGCGTTACAGGCTACTGGGAGAATTACCTCGTGCTTCTGAGGAAAAAGAACTCCCGTGGCGGGCAGCAGTGCCGAGCTGCCTGCGCCTGCAGAGCTCTGGAGACACCATACGCTCCTGTGAGCTCCCGCAATGCAAGCGGAGCCTGTGCCTGCACCCACACACGTTTTCTCCCTGGAGTGAGTTATGCTAAGCCAAGGCAAATCCCCATCCTATTTTGTTTCATGGTACTTTGTTCAGAGAGCCCTAACACACCTCATGGAAGCTCCTACATTACCTGAAGCGCCGCAGCTCTGCAAGCCGTGCTAAGAGGTTAACTACCATGATAGACAGAATAGTCTTCTGCTCAGATTGAAGGGTTTTTGACATTAAAAAGCCGCCCATTCAGCCCTTGAGCTGAATTTTTTTTTAAGGAAAGTCCCCTTCACATTCAGTTAAGCTGTTACGGTATCAGCACTCGTGGTCAGCGTGCTATTTTAGGCACAGGCAGACCAACAGTTGCAGCACACAGCAGAGTGGGTTGTGCGGCATTTGGGATACAAACAGCACAAACGCCTCAGGCTACACCAAGACGTTTGGCGCATGAACTAAAGGCGGGAGCAAATCAAATTATCGGCAAGACCAAATTTGACAGATGTCAGCACTTCTGCTAAAAAACAGAAAATAAAAGTATTTAAGAAGTTGGATCGCAGTTCTCCTACCTGGAAAGAAATAGGCAAGTGTGAGAATGCATGACAGAGAAAGTGATGGTAAAAAAAGAAGGGAAACGTCCTTGTGAGACAAATCTGGGTATAAATAAAGCAGGTATCATGCCCTGATGCTGTGCAAGGGAAGGTGATGACTAAGCGCACCTTTGACACTCTGCTGACACAACCGTGACAGCCTCTCTCACACGTACCGCCCAAAAGCGCTGGATTCAACACAAAAGCTGCCTGAAGCTTCACAGAGCAGCGTCGCTGTTGGGTATTGCTGCTAAGTCCCACCTGCCAGATCACAGCTGGGTGACGCGCACCAGACCTGTTGGTGCTTGCCATGGGAGCAGATTACACTTTCTGTATTTTTTTCTACCCATCAATTACAAAATTTGCCCAAATCTATCTATACGCTGGGGCTCTTATCTCGCCTTCTCACTTTGGCCAGGCGCTTTGCTCCTTGCTACACCCTCTCCTCAGCTGCGCGCTACCCGGCCCACTCCAGCCGTGTTTCTAGGACTGTGGCTGCAGGAGCAAGGAAGCTCCCAGCACATGAAGAACCTCTATCAAGCAAGTGGCAGTGCTGGGGAATGGACCTGAACCTTGGAGACCTCCACCCTGGCTCACAAGCAAGGACGACTGTAAAGAACAGTCTAACACTTGCTTTACAAAATAGCGAAAGTGCTTCCTGGCAAAAAAAATATTTCAGCGTGGAACATCATCACACCCGATAGCAGGACCTGGAAAGCTAAACTAGGGCCTGACCCAATAAAGACCGAATACAAGGCCCTAAGCTAACACAACCAAGTCCTGACCCTTAAAAAAGGCTTTCCAACCCTTGCTTTGCATATAAAACAAACTTTTGCCAAAGGGCACCCAAATTCTCGTCAGAGAGGCACACGGCATGTCAGAACAAGCACAACTCCTTCACATTATTGTTTACAGCACCAGAGCTGGATATCTGGCAGTGCTATAAGCAAGAAGCACTGCATCACTGGAAGTCACCTGTCCCAAGAATTACACAAAGACTCCAGCTGTGACCACTGAGGATCACACGCTGCACTTTTCACATGATGAGGAGCATCAATTTTTTATGTACTCAGCAGCGACAGCAACTGTTATTCCTTCCTAAATTGTTCCTGTCCTTCTGAACGAAAGGTGATCGTGGCCATTTTGCTGTTGTATTCATCTACTGCGCACACAGTGAAAGGATGAACCCACCAGCTTCCACCGCACTACTCCACAGGGGCTGGCTTGTCTTAGGCACGAGCAACACTAACTGCACTTGTTAGAATCATGTCAAGTATTTCATATAACTAGTAAAATGTTTTTATTCACCCACAAAAAAAGGTTAGGTTCACTCTTCTTGGGCTTGCCACATTTAGTTTCCATTAAGGGAGGTAATGGACTTTCCATAGTTCATTATGCACACCACAAACCTGAGGAAGCAAATACCCTACAAGAGGGCACACTTTTCTCTGCTTCCAGAGAGCACATAACAACAGGAGCTATATCCAACATTAAAAGCCAAAGGGAAAATTTCATTCAAAAGTGGGCATTTTTTGACATTCCTCCTCTCTCAAGCACTACTGTTTCATGCTGTTAAAGAACTACAGAGCTCTTTGTTTTGTTTGAAAGCCAAGCTGGTATTTCCTGCTAACACTTAAGATCCCTCTACTCCCTTCCCAGAGATCTTTAATACTCCAAAAACCCATTACAACCTCACAGGTTAGAAGTGCTCAATAGCACTACCAACTTCTACAAAAAGCAGCTGCCAAAATTCCAGTTCTCATGATAACGTGCAGGACACGGTAAGTTTAAATCTACGTACAGGCAGCAGTTTTTGGAGAGAAAAATCTAAATATTAAGTCAAGCCAGCAGCTGAGATGAAAATCCTTGCAAGTCACTCAGGCCTCTAATAACGCCGACCACACCTACTCACGTTTCATCAGCAAAAAGGCTACCTACAGAAGGTCACTGGTCGCTCTCGCAGATCTGACTGTTTAAAGTTTAAGCTTTTGAACTCACTAGCATTATGCTTCAAAGCACCGGAATAAAAGGGGCTCTTGCTGTCTGCCTGAGCACTACCTAGTTAGGTTGAGGGCATCGTCCAGATTAAGAGACTTCCTAAAGATGGTCTATTTCAGACATGTTCTTACTATTTAATCCAGTTATCTTCTGCATAAATAAGAATGACCTGGGACAGGGCAAAATCGTGCCCTATTTGCAACAGCTGCTGCTGTTATCTGGTAACTTCTTACGCTGCAAGAAAAGAGTTTCTTAAAATACTAGATATGAGAAACAGCAATTTTTATAAAGCTTTATCACAACGGAAAAAATTATTCTAATTACACAGGCTAAACAACACACTTAGATGCACCCAGCGACCCCGAAATGCCTCCTGCTCTTCAGCAGGTTATTTTGTTGCCAATTCAACCAATTTACATTGTTCTTTGTTCTTACCCTGAACGTATCCAAGTGCAGTTGAAGCGTTTTGACTTTTACTCTGGGTGCAGGTAGCATTTACTGGACAGCTAGAAAGCAGTTCAGAAAACAATGCAACTCCAGCCTAAAGACTAAGATTCAGACTTCTTAATGCTGACCGACTTTAAGAATGCGTTCAGGCACATACAGTGTAACAGAGTGGCCTACAAATACACAGCAGATCTACTTGTGCCTATGCTGTGCTCTCCAGCCACTCCAAACTCATCCGTAACAAGGGAGCCGAGCAGAGCTGCTTCGCACAAAGAGCACCGGCTTCCCTCCGAGTCCCACACAGGAGAGCACGATACCTACACACATGCTGCAGGCACAAACAAGCAGGTCAAATTTCATCAAATGAGGGGCAACGGACAGTTAAGATAATTTCTAAGGTTTACCGCAATTTGGTGCTGCAAAACCTGTACTTTGACGTTACAAGATTTCTGCTCCTTTTCAGCTGTATCTGCTGCTACCAGAACCTAGCGTTCCTCTGCCAGTTTGCGGCAATTTCAAGCAAATGCAAAATCACAATAATGAAATACATAATCTGCTTCCATTTAAACATTAGCCAATAACTATGATGACCACTACTTTACTTGCATTAAAAGATTAGCTAAAGTTTATCTACTGGGGGGGAACCCACCCTGCAAACAGAATGTTTTTGTTTGTCGTTTTTATAATCTGCCTGTTTGATGAGAGACCTTAAAAATCTCAGTTGCAAGCTCAACTTTCAGTAAATCCATTTGCCCATCTTTGAACTTTATTTTGAACTGAGTAATGTAAATGCTTGACTCTTGCAGATTCCTTAGCTAATGAGTAAGTTCATCTGCATCAAATCTGAAGGAAAAACAGTCTAATTAACTGCAGAATAACAACCTCACAGCAGTTTAATAGGCTTCATCTAAAGCCTTGAGAAGACTGACTTTTCTCTTTCCTTCAACTTTTCCAGGACTGAAATACAGGCTCCTGTGAAAGGTGCTAGAGTGGACAAAATCTGAACTCAACTAAAGCAAATGAACATGTATTGCTTCAATATAGTCTGTTCCACAAAGCAGAAGTTGACTGCAGAGCCTTGCAAAAGAGATACTGCAGGCATCACTTCCTCCTTTTTCCATTTGACCTGCAAAAAATAACCAAAAAGAGCAGACTAAATCTACTGCAATGAACTGGAAAAAATTTACATAAAATATGCAGAGGCGCTGACCATATTTACTAACTGTTTTAAGAACTTAAGAGTACACAGCTCCAGGGAAAGTATTAAATGTGTTCTCTAGTTTGATACCAAAATGTCACTTCCAACTTCTGTTCCAAGGCGAGCCAGCCTCCATCACCCAGTGAGGTGGGAACCCCGGCTCCAGGGCCAGGCTCCTCCAACACCTGCGTTAAGGAGTTTCGAGTCCTCCGGTCTCTCTCTTTCAGTGGCTTGACTGTTGCTGCCCTGGTTGAACAAAAAGCCAAAACTTTGCAAACGCTTGTTTTTGATCTTGTTTTAAAACTGTTCCTCTACTCAGCTACAAGAGTTGCTTCTAAATTCTTAACTACATTTATTCCAAATGCAGTCTCAAGTCTCATCCTTCATGCTTATTTACTCCCAGTATATTAGCCCTTCCTGAAAGTTAATATCCTTGCTGTTAAAATCCTTGTCAAAATTCAAAAAAAAAAAAAAAAAAAACACTGTTTTCTGTCACCCTTCAAGGCCCACAGTTAAAGAAAATTAAACACATATAGACTTGAAGCTACACCATATATTTGTAAAGAAAAATAATTCGACAGGACAAGATTACAAAGTATGAATTGAGCCCTTTCAAGAACCTGAAAGTACACAAGAGAAGTTGATGTTAAGTCCATTTTGTAAAGTTTCCGCAAATACCACTGAGGGATATGAATATTACCAGAGAACATAGCTTTTAATACTTTCTCAAAAAGCTTGGACCACATACATCAGTTTCAGATGAAACACTCCTCCCACGCACATACAAACGTTGGTTTGGTTACAGCTTCAGGGATCAGTGCAAGTTTCATTCACATATAACAACAGATATCTGAAGTAAGTACAAGAACATACCACAGAAATATAAGATGTGCTCTGACTCTCTCCATCCCTTTTCCCACAACCCCCTCCCCCAAAAAAATGCTGAAAAGTAAGCACAACATAAAGGAACACGGGGAAAAGTACACAAAAAGATGGAATCTTTAACAAGACAAGTTAATATTTGACAGCTTAAGAAAGAGGAAACAATTGTATCAGGAAGTACGTTACCGTTAGTCATTAGAACGTATGTACATGGGAAGTCTGTATTTTGATTCTGTAGAAAAACCGAAGCTAACAAGTTTAGTCTCCATTCCTGAAGTATAAAAATTGTTTTTGAGTAACAGAGGCACATAAAGTAAGCACTATTACTTTAAAATGTCTTCTCAGAATAGCCTATTTTCCCATTCTGCAGGTCATTATTTCCCTGTCTTTCAAGGAAAGAGTATATATAACCACCTATTTCATGTCTTTGAGCATATACAACTGTTCATCGCTTATCTGAAAATCTTAAAAGAGTCCTCCTGGTCCCTAGTCTCGATCACAAAGTGTTTTCCCCTCTTTTTTTTTTTATTTTTATTTGTTTCAAAGTAGATCAAACACTCTTTAGTCCTTTTTAAAAAAATGTTTGGGGGAATTTCTTGACCAGTCATATGAACATGATTTTCCTCTGAAGCAAGGTATTGCAGACTGTTAATGTAGAGCAGCTCCCTAAAGATGCTAAGTGCATCTTCAACTACTAGAGAACTCACTGAAGGCTATAACTTAAGTGCTTTTTTTTTGTTTTGCTTTGCTTAAGAAAAACGTGGCTGACTGTACAAAATGGGAGACTAGTGCAATATGCAGCATTGATTGTTTATTCAATAAATATTTAACCCAATTATTGCCAATCAAGGCAAACAGTGCAGAAATTGTCACTTAACGATCTACAAAAGTTTAACAATTTTTTTTTTTTTATAAAGTCAGTTGCTACTATACTTTCATACCATTATTTCAAAGAGGTTTTTCTCCTTCAAAATTGACTACTACCATTATAAAATATAGAAACATAGCATTTGAGGGTTTAACAAGTCTTTACAAGTCTAACTTTTAATATTTATATAGGAAAAATGACACTTCTGTATTCAATAACTCATTACAAGTAAAATGAATACTCTACTAGACTTTTTCCCGCACTGCCTATTTTATAGTTCTTAGATACATCTTTCTTGGTCCTGGTTATACATTTAGAATGAAATAACTTGCATCTCACATTTATCCTGAGGTCAGCTGTGTAAAAAGAAAAGCCAATTCTGTAAGGATATTTGCAGGCTGTTTAAAACTTGAGGTTATTTTTAAACAAGCCAACATAAATTCCTGACTGGAAAAAAAAAACAAAAACAACTCATTAACATTTTAAAAAACAAGTTAGTGTTGCATTTGGGAAGTAATTCCAAAAATATATAAGCTCTCACAGCAAAATGCTATGCCACCCTACTGAAGTTTCAGCATGCATTTGCCAAATTGCTATTTCAAACTTATAAACTATTATGAAAAGAAAATGTATGTATCCCTGTGAAAATCATACCAAGCTTCTCATCTCAAGATCCCAACCCTGGTTTGGGGGTTGCAAGGCAACTCCTGCAAAGGAAACCCCACTGAAGCCTGTGGGAATTTGCAGAGTCTTTGGGTCTGCCCCCACAGATGAGGACACGTGATTTAGGTCTCAGTCACCCACTGTGGGCACACAGATACGATCTTTTCAAAATCCCATTTTGAACACAGCAGTTATTGTCAATAGCACCAATGATCTCTCAGATACCAGCATCAGGCAAATACAGATAATATATATAAGAATAAGTTTCTTCCTGAATCAGCACAAATGTTACAAGGCACTGCTTGGTATAGGAAGTCATAAATAAGAGCAGAAGAAGACAATTTCCAAGTTTTGTGACATTTAGGTTTGTAGTTAGGTCACATTTCAATTTATCACTAGGTAGCACGGTTAGAAAAAACAGATAGTTTTATGGAATTAACGAAAATATGACTGTTTCCCACATGCTTACATTCTTCCTCCCCATATCCTGAAAAGCCACATAACATATCAATATGAAACATAAGGAAGTATGGGTTGTTAAATTAAGTACATTATATTTTCCAATCTTCCACAAAAGTCTAACCTAGACATAACTCAAGTATAAGAAGCTGGAAAATTATCTGATAGCATTTGCAACAGTCTATCCCTGCAGAGGAGTGAAAAACCTATTGTCTAGAGAATTCATAGATTGAGGCACATCATAGCTGAAGATATTCAGGCGTATTTTATGGCTAGAACAGAATTTTTCAGAGGAACCCGACGATAGGCTTCCCCAAAAGCAGCTCCTTAGGGTTTGAAACACCAATTGCAAAACATGGGGAAAAAAGTGTCAGTCCTTAATCGCTACTGTCTTCATCCTCATCATCATCAGATACATCATTTAAAGGGGATTTAGGTGACTGGCTGTAGGAGTCTGATCTAGTGGACTGACAAGTAGTCATCTCCCCAGTAGAAAGAAGATCATAGCAGAAGTCGCAAATTCGCACAGGCTTGGAAGACTGGCTTGGGAGCAGAAACCTCTTTTCAGAGCAAGGCCCACACACGACAAAGCCACACTTGCGGCAGTGGTGACGACGGTTGACAGGCGTAAATTTTGCTTTCTGACAGCGCATGCACACAGTGGCTTCCGAGTCTGGTACCCAGACAGCTGCATGTTCATTACTAGGAGTCTTCCCGCTTTTGGAAAGCAAATCAGAAACACACTTATTTATGTGGTTCATCCACTCAGACTTCTCTGTAGCTGTGGCAGCATAAACTGCAAAAGACTTTGTTGGTGTCTTGATAAGCCACCCGTTCCGTAAGTCTCCCTCGTCTTGGATGGAATCAATAGTGACATTTTCCAACGGAATTATGTGCTGCTTATTGTATTTCTTCTTCTGGATGACAATGTTACCATAAACAAGAATGTCATTGAACAGGAAAAACTGCCTTGCTTTGGGTTTCTTCCTACAAAGCTTTGTTAATACTCCTTCTCCGATCAGAACGCGACCAGGAATAGTCAAAGGTTGACCAGCTGCTCCAAAGCAGTTTTCCACTATACTTATTCGTCTTGTATTTGCCTCACTGTTTGCCAAGCGATCCACCATCTTTCACAAGTATCCTACAATTAGAAAGAAAAGTTTATCATTAGTATAGAACTGATACAACAGCCTTCTGCAAGGAAGCCCCGCATCTCTTCAAATATCTAACAGAACCGGCTGGCTCAGAGACCCTAACTTGGGCTAGATTTAAATCTACGGTGTATTAACACCTAAGAATGTTTAGCAACTGATTAGTCTCTTTTAGAAGCAAAAACGTTCCATCCAGCTCCCTGCTGGCAGCTATCTTTATCATTCAGACAGCACTTAGAGCAACGCTCTGCAGAGCTTCTGGCAACAAACTAGGAGACTTGCCCCTCTAGTAAGGTTTGTGCATGTTGGTTTAGCACTCATGCCTGTCTGTACCCACTCTCTGGATAATAAAAGAAAGTATCTCTCACCATTTTAAATTCTAACACTGACAAAAGCATTAACTTAACTTTGGCCTCCAAGCTGCTCAGCCAATATCAACAGGACAAACACAAATGAAATAATCGATGTTCACACAGGAAGGCACCATCCTCATGCTCAGTATTGCTCTTTTTCCAGAATATAAAGCTTAAATCACATGCAAAAACCATAAATCCACCTACTAGAAGCATTTTACCCAGCCCACAGCCTCCACTCCCCACCACCTGCTTTCATGGCAGACTCTTTAGATATGAGCAGGGAGTAAGTGGCAGGCTGGTGGCTCACTCTCTGCTTGCCGCTGCCTCCCTCCTTACATGACCTGAACCACATCTACGGCCACTGCAACTACGCAACATGCATAGACAGACCACCCCAGAGGTTCAGCTGTGCAGCTCTTGCCTGCTCCTGAAATCGCCTGAGTGATCTGCACTGGTCAGAAGTTCAGGCGGGAAGGCCTTATCTTTCAAGCAGTGTAGATAACTGACAGAGTACATCCATTTCAATTTTGGATTGAAACCACCCCTTGTTCCTTCCCAAGTAGGAAATAAGAGCAAGATCCTAAGCTATCCAAAGGTGAACCGAAAATAAGCAGTTGCTATAGCAACTCATACTTCTGCAAAAAGCTCTTTAGCATATCTCTTATTCAGAGCTTTACAGACAGAAGTCAGTAAAAAGGAAACTCATGCCAGTCAGCTCAAGATATGCTACCAAGAGCCTTGCAAGTATGATGGGGACTTCTGAGAACTGTGTGCTTGTGAAAGCCATGAGGCCATCGTTAGAGCCAAGTACAAACAAGATGTGCCACCTCAGAACAGGCCAAAGCCAGAGACCTTTCTCTAGGCATCCAGGAGATAGCTCTCCTACTCATTCCTTTTTACCTACTGAAGAGTTGATGCTCATGACACCTATTAGTGGACTCCACTTCTTTAAATAGCTTTGAAGGAGAGCATACAAGCAAGAATTCCAGTACGTACACCCCGCATTTCCCAACATGACCCTACTTCGTAGAGTCCTCTCCATTCACCTGTCTTCTCTACTTTGCCCACCTTCAGTGCGGGATCAGCCTATAATGAAGATGAGATTGGGCTGAAACAAGTCCCTAATTCTGTTTAGAGAATCTCAGACTCTGGCAAAAACCTGATTAAAAAAAAAAAAAAAACAACCAAAAAAACCCATAACACCTTCCTATACATTACACCTCAGATACTTCCTTATAAAATATGGATGAAACTTCTGTTTAGGAGTCCAGTTGCAGAGAAGTCTCTCATCCGGCCTTATCTAAGTATGTTATACTTCCTCAGATTATGCAAATCCACATTATCAAACTTAAATGTGACTTAAAACATAAGTTATAGCTTACTGCTTTAAAACTTAAATTAGTTCTGTGAAAAATAATTTAAAGGAGCCCACTCAAACAGTTTCACAAGTGGGCTTACTGGGATATAACTAAACTGACAATTTTTTCAAAGCTATGCACATTACACCATCTTGTTTCAACAAAGTTGGATCCTGAAGACAGAAGAACCTATTAATAAAGGGCATCACCCAGCACTCCCTCTGGATTTTCATTATATGCCTCACAGCATTTTGTGTAAATTACACTTATTTCTTGTCATTCTTCAATGAGAACTGCCTCTATCTTCTTCATAAAACCTTTTGAGTACTCGAATGCTTATCCCTGCTATTTCTAGAGAGAAGAGAAAACTGTAAGTGCAGGTAGAAGAAAAAGAAATGAGTTATTTCAATCTCCTTCACCAGCCCTACATTTCTGAACTGGTTATTCCTGTTACTCTTCTCTAGGCTTTCGAAGCTCTGTCCATAGCTTCCTTTATAAGAGATGCCCGCAAGCGGACACGGCGCTCCCTGAATCCTTCTGCAGCACCACACAAAGCAAAACAGCTTCTTTCAAGTTTGCTTCCCTCTGTGGCTGAGCTGATTTATGCCATCTGACCCCTCCTCCCTGTGCCCTTGTGCCCTTACAAGAACTGCATGGTAAATTACATCAGAGGCCTGATCAACAGGATTAGAACAAAATCAAGCGCTTTAGGGCTAGAATTGGGAGGGGAGGGTGATAGAGGGAGAGAAAGGGAGTTGGTGAGACAGTTCCCTGCATAGAAGTACACTGGTGTACACTGACAAGTAAAGCAGAAGGTCTTACAGTAAATATTAGCTTTTAAAAAATGTTTTTTTGAGAACAGCAAAAGACTGATGATTACATCAGTATGTTCCATTTTTTTAAATGATGTGATTATTCAGATATAGCCAAAATATACCTTTCAAAAGACACTTCATCTCTTTCAAGCATTCCAAGTCCCAATCCTAAATGATGCACGCAGGGAGTTACACTACCTACCTTTCCCTCTTTTATTCAGCAATAAGCTCTAGTCACAGAAGCTTGGCAGGGGGCTGCTTTAAATCTATACCTGCCAGGTATCTCCTATCAAATGGTCTTAATCTAGGAGGCAAAGCACTGGCATTGTGGGAGGAATTCTGAAAGAGGTTTTTTTAGTTCAGAAGGTGGGGTTTTTTTGTATTTTTTAAGAGATTAGCTTTAATTTCTACTAAGTATGAGTGCCAGTTAGCAGAAACATTGTTGGCTGCCCCAACCACTACCATTCCATCCACCACAGAGGAAGTTCCAGAGAGGGAGCTCAGACCAGCATACAAACCAAGAGGTCTTCCAGCTTATTTGCCACTGTCCTAGGCTGAAAGATCAAACTCACACGACTGGCTGCTGAAGAACAGGATTTCGTAAGGGTTAACTAACTGCATGTCCCCTGCAACGCAGGGAAGGAATACAGTCAGGGGAGTGCAAAGAATAGAGAACAGAGGAATATGCTTTTCTGCAGACACGAGTCAATCTGCATTACTTCTAAACTTGCATTTTTATATGAATTATCTGTGAATTACAGCTGGTTATACGATTCTGCTAGTCCACAGAAAAAAGCAGTCATGCTGATGAGCTTCACTGAAACAAACTCCTGGTCTGAAGAAGCTGCAGTGGTCTGTAAGAGTCGCTGGCTGTCCTGCAGCCCCAGCTCAGCGCTCCCTGCACTCCCCGCTGACAAACAGCGAACCCGGCTCAAGGTCACCAGCAAGAGTTTTCAAAATACAAGTCACTGGAGAGGAGAAACAAGGGAGAGAGAAAAGGCAAAAGCTTTTAGCCGAATGCTTTCTACGGACAACCTTAGAGAAAATAATTCTAACCAGGATCATTCAATAATCATCATGATTTAAAACCAAGATACGTGACTCTAGAGCTTGCGCGGAAGACTTCTTTCAGCTTGATAACAAAAGCACTTACTGGACTCAGGCAAGAATTACGGGCAAGTTAAGGACTATTAGGAAGGAAGACAAGATGATCACCTCTCTTCTGGATTTAAACTTTTGTTTATAACGTTCAACAAATTATTACCTACTAGCCTCAATTAAGGTAATAAGAGCCATTAGATTGTTGATGGACCATTTCCATCTTCTTACATGACAGGAATTGTATTTTTCCATACAAAGAGCTTAGATTTTTTTTTTTAAATAAGCACTCTGACATTTTTCTCAGAATTTTAAGTTCCTGGAGAAAATTCAAAATTAAGAATCAATCTGAAATCCTATGCACACTAATTCTCACTCACCTTTGTCAACCTTTTTTGAGAAAGAAAGGAAGTTCAGAAATGGTTAATGACAACGAGAAATTGCCAGGAGAAAGAGTCCTATGATTATAAAGACCAGAGTAACTAAATTTGAAAAAGTCAAGGGGAGACATCCCAAGGTCACAAGAAGAGAGGAAAAAAAAAAAAAAAAAGGTATACCTCTTCCTGCAAGGTAGTGATTGGAGGGGAGAAATGATATGAGAAAAGTTATTATGTCTTAGAGATACAGGTTGCATGCAGCTGAGCACAAAACATTTCCTTATCCTCGCTCAGCACGCACCGACATCGTGACTCCCTGCAAAACACACGTAAGCGGGATGCAGGAGAGGGATGCAACCCAAGCAGCCAACATTTCTGCAGCCATACTGCACCACCAACAGTGCTCCATTATTTTCTGGTCTGGACAAGAACAATCCTTATCCAGTGTCCTTCCAAAAAGCAATAGAAAATGATACTTACACAATCCTTGTTAATAACCCTCTTCTAATTTTTTTTAATTATTATTTAATTTTTTTCTTCAACACTGCTTTAAGGGAGGATAATGCTACCGGCCTTACCATAATTGCCAGTTCATCTATCATCTTTATAATTAGCAATTACCGATTAAATTTAAACACACTAAAATCCAGGGGCAGCATTACATTAATGCAAACAAGACCGTCTAGACCTTTCAGGGTTACAGCCTCAGGATGTTGACAGCTCATTCATTATTACGTATGCTCAAAACTAAGGTAACAGCTTTAAAAAAAAAAAAAATGTGTGTGTGTATATATATAAAAGATACTAGATGTTTCCAATACAGATTCAACAAATCCAACAATGAAATGTTTACTAACCACAGAATCCACACCATTTGAATGGCAGAAACGGGATCAAACCAAGCTAGGCTGTAATCTAGATATTATTACAGTGCGGCAGATACAGACAATAAAAATAAGATTTAGAAATGAAGGAATTCAGAAGGAATGGAATAAAAAAGGTAGAAACAGCATTATCCACTAATCATACAAAGCCTTGGTTCTCACACCTGCTTTTGTGCAAACAGATAAACAACAGCAACTACGTTCCACTGTATATATTCAAAATTAATCCATTTTCCTTCTTCCCTAAGGATTAATTTACATGTTGTATTATAAAAAGTTTTCTGCTTAGGGCTACTTGGCAAAAGGCTCCTTAAGACAAACCAAAATAGTAGAACAGTTAAAGGTTTTTTTCATGTCTGATTCCACAACTCCAAAGGTTTGAATAAGATATAAATTTCAAACAAATGTTGCTATCCTGTCTTCCTGTGTCTGTCTGTCTCTCTGTATATATATAAAAATATATAAAATCTCACACAAGTTAACCAGATATTAAAGTTACAGAAATCTGGCAAAACTTTTACAATCTGGAGGCATGCAAGTCAGAAACTTAAGAAAGACTAGGACTATCAGCAAAGCAGATATCTAATATGCATTAAACTACCGATCTGTAAGATGATTCCTCTTTTGACTTGATCCACAGGAGAGAAAAAAATAGGCAGAATAAGTCCTCTAACATATGTTAATAAATAACATATGATTTTTTGGAAAAAGTCGTAAATTATTATTATATACTTGAATATCATGTCACTCTCATTCAGCTCTCCTGTTTGTCTTGTCTATGCAAGACAGACATGCTAATTTGACTTAAGGTCAAACATACATGAACACAACGAATTAAATTACCTAAAACCCTCATACAGCTCTGACTGAACGCTTTACCTGAAGTGAGATTTCCCCTACTTCTTTCAAACACTTTCAGCTCTGAAGGCATTCCAGTATTACTCTCTAGTAACATTACATGTATTGTTCTTAAGAACAACACGACTCTTTTTGCACTGCTGCCAAGTAAAGCACAATGGAAATTTCTGACGTGCAACTGTTTCTGAAGGAATTCTGTCCAAGTCGAATGCTTTGAAAGCATTTTTATTGGGGAAAACTGCAGAAGTAAACAATTCACAGTAGATAGTCTACAGTTCTTGACATAGGTCAGAAAAATCGGCATAAATAGTAAGCCTTACTTTGGCCTCACTAGTTCCTGCACAGCCTCCCTGAATACTTCCACGAAAGGGGGGCTCCATCCCTTCTCCCGAAGGCCTCGCTGGGTCATGCTCTGCTGGCAAACGATGCTTTTCCTGCACAGAGATCTGACTGGCTGTAACCAGCGTTTGTCCACGCACAAATCAACCCTACCTGTCAAGAACCACACAGGTAAGAGCAAGAGCCGGAATAAAAATGATATAAAAATATCAGGAAAAGGGACTTGATTAAACTTTATTTCTGTAATGTAGTATGTAGAATAAAATACTGAGGAAAATGAAGTTTTAAGTACCCATTAAGCCATGTATGGTTTCATTAATCTTTCATTCTACGTTTTACAGTTACTTCAATACATCTATAACAATTAACTACAGTTTCAGAGCCTGTATTTGTTTTTTATAAAACAGAGTGCTACGACAATACAGAAAGTCAGACAAAACTAAAAGAAATTGTACCAAATAAATACTATGTTCAGAGATGCACGAGTATGACATGAGCTGCTTTCTAAAGGTCTTTATCGCTGATGAAAACTAACATGACAGTAGCAACTACAAGCCAGTATTACGTGCGAGCCAGCTGTACTGGATGCTATTTAAAACATACAGCAACAACTGTTACTTAAACAGAAGTACAGCCTTCCAACAAGCCGTTCTCTAACTTTGTTCGGAAAAGCATTTCACAAACTCTTGTATTGAACGCATAGTCCTGCTCTCACAACCGGGACAAGCTGGTAGGAACACAGCAGATAACCTGCCGGTATTTGAAAGGTGTGACTATCAAGAGTAAGAAAAACTACATCACAACACTGCAGCAAAATAAGAACGACAGCTTAAAAAGATGAAATCGAGGAGGAGAAGACAGCAGGAAAGGAGGCAGTAAGACCCCCCTGAACTTCAGAGGCATAGTCTTTATCCAGAATCACTTTCCACTAAGTCAGTACAAAAATGAGAAAGGGCTGCGGTGAGCAGAAGGGCACTGCCAGCTGGACGCACGCTTTGCTTCAGCGAACCCACAGTCTCCCTTCATGACAACTGTCACCTCATTTTCTTTTTAACTACTCTTTCAATTATTTATAAGTTTAGGGAACAGGCTTCTGGAAAAAGCAATCGATTCTGCACGCCCCTCGTTAGCAGAAAGGCAAACTGGAAGGCAGTCAAGCAAAGCGTTAAGAGACTACTAGCACGACTGATTTACGAGGAACAGCTGAGAAAAAAATCTAAGTCTCTCTTACCACACCAAACACAAACGTAGCAGATAAGCCTCCTTCTTAGCTGAAGTTATCAATATCTAGCAAAAAGCATACCAATATTTGGAGGGTGTGAACGCCAAAAGTTAACAAAGGCATGGAAAAATGGTGCAAAGAAAGAATAGCATACAGTCTTTAATAAAGCCAAAAAAGATAAAATGCTGGAAAAGGTGGCAATACCATGGCAGCTTGGGATTACTCTCTAAGAAAGTAATGAAAGCCTCAACGCTTATAGCACTTTAATTCGAACACTACAGAGAAAACACAGTACAAGCGTCAATCAGCATTACAGCGGCAGGAGAGCGGCAGAGGTGATGCTA